TTTTCAAAGTGAGCAGTTGTTTCTTACAGGCCCCAGCCCTGAGCTGGGGGGACACCACTCGTGGCCAGCCTCCCTCCAAGCTCGTGCTGAAGGCTGCCTGCAGCACAGCCACTGTGGGGATTATCTCTGGAGACTGGAACCTGCCTAATGCCCTGCCAGCCAGGCATCCTCAGGTACTCTCGGGCATCTCACCTGCCTGAGCCTCCCAATGCACAAGGCAGGGTGATTCTGAAGAATATAGATGGATTCTAAATTCTTGCTGGCTGATGAAAAATTAGGGTAATAAATCATTCCTTGATGAATTCCATTTGTTTCTTTAGACTTATGCCCAGGATAAGCAATGCAAACACAAAGCTTCTCATGGCTGGACCAGTAGGGAAGGTGGAATTAGACTGAAAGTTGTCAGTATTGGGTTTTAAAGGCATCCATCACACCCTGTTACAATGCTAGCAGCAGTCTCCAAAATGCCAATTATTTAGAAACACTGAACCATACTATTCTATACAAATTGAAGTGGGGCTGATTTTATTACAAATATTTCTGTCTTTTCCAATTAAGAATGTAGCATTATATAGTGATGTGAGACTGTCTTGTTAATTTACCCTCAGAGTGCATTTATTCCAGGCACACAATAACAGTAACAGAGTAGAAATTAGTTTTCCTCTCTCACTTGCAATGATTGTGATAGGCCTTAACAGGAATGTTAATAACAATCTTGACCCAAGCTGCATCTTATCTTCTGCTGCTATAAATGGAGTGACAGCAATTTGCACAATCTGATGATATTTTGTTCTTTGCTTCATGGCAGTAGCTGTATAAAACAATTTCAGATTATCCACTCTTTTCTAAAGAAGGATTAAATCCATACATATTTACAAAAAAAAAAGTTGTTAATCAATTTCTACTCAGTAATGTATTTTTCAGGATGATAAAACATCATTTTAGAAGCACACCTGATAATGCTTTACCACTTAAATCCATTGCATTGTTTGATTTTGATCTACATAAACAGGTATTAGAAGAAAAAAATTACAAAATTCACAGAGTTGTAAGAGGGAGATAAAGAGGAACATTTATTCTATACTCCTATCTATTTGAATCTATTAGATTTATATCTAGGTCAGTCCTTGGATAATACAGCCTCTGAATTCCATTAACTTTCTGATAGCTCTGTTACAAGTCCTTGCACAGTCCATCAGAAATAAGAATTTTATTCTTTCGTGTGCCAGTTCTCTCTCACGATAGAGATCAAAACCTGGGCATTACAATCTGTTGTCACAGACATTATTTCAATATTACTTTTCATTTAGAGGATCAAGAGGGGAAAAAGGGGGTGAGTTTTGTAGATTTCCCTTAAAAATGACATAAGTGAAATGTAGAATTGTACTGCGTACACAGATTCATTCCAGAAAATACACCCTCGTAGAGTATTTTTCTGTGAACATTGTTGAGATAAAAACACATCTTCTGATTGCCGATTTCCACTTGAGCGGTGCCAGGAGAGATTTCAATTCTTTAAGTTGCACTGCCCTCTAGGGGAAAGGATCTTCAGCTGTCGCTCCGCGAGAACAAAAGCCACCCCGGCTTTTCTCCTTCAGTTTTCAAGGCTGGACACTGTGCTTCCTCCAAATGCTACGCTGGTGCTTGGTATGAACTCGGCATGGGTAGCGCAGAGATGAGCTTTGTACAGTACAGCCGTGTTTTATTTGCATTTTTATTCCCTTACATGTTCTATTTGTGTGTGTGATACCTTGCCCGAAGCATAAACCTGTTTAAGTAGTGAATCTTGCCCTGTCGAGCTCACCCTCCCTCTCAGTGGTCTGGGGACACAGACTGTGGGGACAAAATAGTTACCAGGGCTTTTCTGCTGGAGGTTAAATCTCGTGTTTGAGATCCTCCACAAGGCAGCTCTGGGCTCTCTGCAGATCTGGGGTGCACTGAAGGAGCTGATCACGGTTGCTTGTGCAGACCATGAAACTAAAAGGTGGTCTCTAGTTTGGAAAAATTATCATTTTCCAACAAACACCTGACAAACAGGCAGGTTTTAGTAAGAAGCTCCCAAATACAAAGAAGAAAAAAACCCAAACCCTTTTCTGCTATTTGAGTCCTGTTATTTTCTAAAAAGAAATAATCAGAGAGATAGTCAAATAATGGACGACTATGATTATCATATTCAAACTCAAAAGGGTCACAGGGAATCAAGGTACCACACTGGGGAAGCCATCTGAGACATACATCTGGGTATGATGAATTCCACCCCCCTTCCAATCAAGTAAAACTGGTATTTCACAATATAATTTAATGCTGTTAGGCAACTGTATGGCTTGAAAATGGAATACAATTCCAGAAGAGAAATTCCTATAGCAGATCTTTTCTCTTTTACAATGTCTTAGAAAATATGTGTATTGAAGGAGGAGCAGGATGTGGTTCAGTGAAGCGTACATAATGCTTCAGTATCTTTCCACAGTGGATACTCCAAATAAGATAGCAGAAGTAATGACTGAATCAGAGAACAATGATTGGATTTAGTATTTGGAACAAAAAAATGAGATCAGGTTGGTATGGAGAGAAATAGGCTGCCATGGCTATCAGAAATTCTTGTAAGGAAAAAGAGCACACTGTGAAAATTGTGGGAATACTGAAGCGGAAAAAAAATCAGTAGCTAATGAAAACTCATCTTTGAAGAAGATTAAAGGTTCCACAAAGGAGAGGGAATGTTGATTATGCATTCATCACATGAAGCAAGCTGCAATGTTGGCTGTGAGCTGATGCTGTTGCCTCCAGCACCTTGTGGCTACTGCGGTGGTGTTATGTGGGAGATGAACACAGCACACCTCGCTGGCTCAAATCAGTGCACAAACAAAAGTGAACATTAAGAATTACTGTTCTGGTTCTACTGGCTGAACTAAAGGTATTCCAAAATTTTTCAATGTCCACTGATTCTGTGTACTTACCTTTCAAACAAATAGCTATAACAATTTTATTAATTATTCACACTTTTTCTCACTAGACAATTGCAGCCTTCAACCTTCAGCCTGCAAAAATTCCTTCTCAGCCTTTTCATGTTTGATTTTGAAAATAGGATTGCCTTTAAAATCAATTAAAAGTGACAGATTTAGCAACATCCACAGATAAATCAAATCTGAGCCCAGCATGTAGTAGTGTAATATTGTGTAATGACAGCACATTAGTAAGAAGGGAAAATTGTAAGAGACAAAAATGTTCTTAACTTGTAAAACAATGTATACTTCTAGGTATTTTATTTAAAAAATCCAATTTCTTAAGATCCAAAACTAGACACTTATTTCTTTAAGTGTCTAGTTTTGGATCTTAAGACTTTTTATAAATGAAAGGGTTGTACTGAGATGGTATCCTTGGTATTATAATACCCTTATTATTAAATATTTTTAATAAATATAAGTATATATTATAATGTTTGTATTATTAAATATACAACCTAAATTTTATGGTCCTCGATTGATTGTTTTTAAAAGATTTTTAGGCCCTACTTTTTCTTCCAGGACTATTTTATTTTTTTGTGGGCCTTTTCCCTTTTTTGGGGCTGTGCTCATCTACTGTGATTAGTTGGTAATTTCCATACAGTCTACATAACCCCAGCTAACATCTGTGCACACAGAGGGCGAGAGTCTGCACCTGGCCAGGGATCTCTGTGACCTGTGTGACTATTAGTATTATAATGGATATAGTTCAGCTATAGGATGCATGGACATTAAATATTTTGCCAAGTTAATAATGTATCCATAGATGTGCATCAACACCTTGATTTACGACATCCTCAAAGTTTGTTAGCTCCTAGGTGTCCTTGGCTATCTGTTTTACTGATGTGAAAAATGCCAATCACTTGTTTTTAAAATTTTAAAAGTTTAATAGTAATAAAATGGTTATAAAAATAGTAACACAATTAGAGTAATAACAATTTGGACAAATTGAATTAGGACAATATGAGACAATAAAAACAGAGTTACGGACATCTGGGTGCCTTTTTCTGGGCATCATGAGCCCAAAAAAGGACCCCTGCTAACAAAGGATTAACCCTTAAGAACAATAGCCCGTTGCATATTCATACACTTCATACATGATGCATAAATTCCATTCAAACACAGGATTTTGTCTGGTCATTGTCAACTTCTTCCTTCTAATCCTAACAGCGCCTTCAAGGTGGGAAGAAGTTAGTTTCTTCTGATAAGAAGGCAATAAATTCGTTTCCCTGAAAGATTTACGCGTCCTGTGGCTGCTACATGGTGCGAGTGCCTCATTCCTTTCTTTAAAAAAACCCCACTAACATAGTTCTTATTTTAACAAATTTTATAACCTAAAACTATATTTAACACAGTACTTAAGAGAATTAATGCAGCATTTCTTTCTAACATAACACATGTAACATTCATTGTAATATTTGCAAAAAGCCAATCATATAATACATAATAATGCATTTTTAATACAACATAATGCATTTTTCACACTGACATACAACATTTTGCTGTACTACATCCAGTTCGCTACACCTTGATTTGCTGCATCCACAGCTGACAACTAACAAGCTTTAGGCTTTAGCTCCCTTGACTGAAGGATGCTGGCTGCTGCTGTTCCCCTGGCTGGATCTCCTTTCCTGATCACTGACAGAACAAGAGGACACAGTCTCTCTCTCAAAGCTATGTCAGGGAAGGTATAGGTCGGATATTAGGAAGAAATTTTTCACCCGAAGAATAATAAAGTACTGGAATTCTCTTCCCAGTGAGGTGGTAGAATCACCATCTCTGGATGTGTTTAACAATAGACTGGACATGGCATTAGGTACTGTAGTCTGGTTGAGGTGTTAGGGCATAGGTTGGACTTGATGATCTTAGAGGTCTCTTCCAACCTCGTGCTTCTGTGATTATTAGGCCTGAGGCGCGCGGAGCCCCGATCGCCAAGAAGCCCCCGGCCCCACAGAATCCCTGCGTGCGCGTTCCCGCGCCAGGCCGGCAGTGACGTGCCCGCGCCGTCAGCGGCCGGAAGCGCCGCTGGCAGCAGTAAACAACGGCGTCGGGAGCCGCGGCCGCCGCTTCCATCTTGGAGGAGCCCGAGCCCGAGCCCACCGGGGACCATGGGCAGCGTCCTGGGCCTCTGCTCCATGGCGAGCTGGGTAAGGTGGACGCGGGCGGCGCGGGGGTCCCTCCCTGCCTTTCCCTGCCCGCCGCAGGCTCGGAGCCGGCGGCCGGCGCTTCCCCCCCTCCGCAGCCGGGCCTCGCCCGCCGCCTCCCCGCGGCTGTGTCACCCAGGGCGGCTGCGGCGCTGCCTTCCCTCCTGCTCCTGCGGCACGGGGAGGCTGCGGGCCCCTGCCCGGCCCCATCCGAGCTCGGTCCGCCCCGGTGGCCGCGGCCCCCGCTCCGCCGGGCAGGGCTCTCTCCCCGCCGCGGGAGGGGGCGGGCCCCGCCGTGGTCCCTCTCGGGCTGCTCCCGGGATCCGCAGGGATCCGTCGGAGCCGTTTCGCCGGCGCTGTGGGGAGCTTGGTCCTTAACCCCGACAGGCCGGCCTGTCGAGCTGCTGGGCGCCGCTCAATCCGCGTTGCTGTGCGGGAGGGGCCCCGGTGTCCGCTGAAATCACCTCCCCGAATCTCCAAAGAGTCCGGTCAAATGCTTTGAACTCAGCGTTTCTTTCGGGAAAATCAAAACCCGCACGTGTCCCCGATTCTAATATTTGTATTCAATGCCTCTTTCTTACGGCTTTGTCTGTAGCAGCTCCACCCTTTGTAGCATCTTTGTCTCGCCGAGCCATCCTTTCCTGGCGGCACAGTAATCCATGGTAATGTGTCACCACGTCAGTCAGGTGATGTTTGTTCATGGGAAGCAGGAGATTGAGATGGCATTAAGACTCTTGGCACGATGCAGGAAAGCGAAGAAGTTGGTAAAGAGTCTTCAGCTGACACACTGCTTTTTTATCAATACGTGATATATGTTTTTCCAAGTCTAGTCCCTGTCTATATTGACACAGTCAAGTGGTTTGTGAGTTTTTAGATGTTTGCAGTAAGAATGTCAGTGGGATTGTGAAAATCTGAATTTTTAATACCAAAAATAATTGTACCATGCATGAATCAAATTAAATTACCTATTATTAAAGCGTTCATGCACACACTTCTAGTGATATAACAAGACCTCATATTTATCCAGGCTCCTACATCTGCATGTATGGGTTTTGGCTCTTCTACTACAGAGTGACCTTTAATTAAGAGAGATGATCCATAATCTCTTAATCTCACGTACAAATTATATGAAATTACCATAGAATTGGAAAATCTGCATAAATTAACTTCCAGGCTGATATGCCTGTAAATAATCAACTAGAACACTGATAATATCCTTTTTACTAATTACTGTCAGGGCTCATTTTGCTCTCATTAACATTTTGCATACTACTTGATGGTTTAGCCAGTTAGGTTTGAATTACTACTGGATATACTTAACAGTATTATTTTTAATTATTGTTAAATACTTCATGACATTGTGACTATAGGCTTTATTTCAAATACTTGAGTTAAAATATACTGTGTTTTCAAGTTCATAAACAGGCTTTCTAACAACTGGTTGGCGTTTGTAGTGTTTGAAGAACCCCTATCTACTTGATCTTGATTGTTTGTTTTTCTGCAGAGAAATTCAGCCTGTTAGATAAAATGATTTCCATGACATCATAATCTTAAATCAGATTTACTGTGAGTAGTTAACCCCTGTCCCTTCCTTTGAAGTACCCAAACAAATCAGGATGGGTAGTTTTTGTTGGTATTATTTTTCTCTTTCCCCTGATGGCTTTAAAGGGATCATTTTCTTTCCACATTTAAAACCACAGCTAATCAGCACTTCGAGCCTGTACAGCAGTTCTGAGCAGGAGGAATCTGTCCACGCTGCTCTCTAGGGATATGTCAGTACAAACTCAGCTTGTGGCTCTGAGGAGGAAGCACCCACTGAGGGTGAGGGAGCCGCAGGACTAGGTGCAGTGGGGTTGGTGTGGTGCGGGCTGTGGCACGGCCAGCAAAGCTCCCCTGCCCATGGGACGCTGCTGTCACTGCTGCTTGTCCGCAGGGCCGCAGTGCTCCCCTGCCCCTGGGGACGCTGCTGTCACTGCTGCCCCTCCACAGGGCCACAGAGCTGCCCTGCCCCTGGGGACGCTGCTGTCACTGCTGCCCCTCCACAGGGCCACAGAGCTGTCCTGCCCCTGGGGACGCTGTTGTCACTGCTGCTCCTCTGCAGGGCCACAAAGCTCCCCTGCCCCTGGGGACGCTGCTGTCACTGCTGCCCCTCCCCAGGGCCACAGAGCTGCCCTGCCCCTGGGGACGCTGCTGTCGCTGCTGCCCCTCCACAGGGCCGCGCGTTGTACTGTGCAGTGGCTCTCTGCTCAGGCCTCCTGCCGTGCTCGTGTCTTGTGTGCTTTTGTGCTGTGCTGCTGCTGTGTGTGACTGCTCTGCACTCCCCTGTGCTGATCAGGCAGTGCTTCACGGTAGCATTTTTAAGAGCAGGGGAAGCCTGTCAGAGATGAGGTTGAGGCCCCAAAGCCATAAGAGCAGAGTCATCTCAGCAAAAGTCTTCTGCTCCTCCTGACAGCCAGGCTTCATAAGGCAGCGCTGTTTTCCCTCTGCTGTGTCTTGCCTCTATTGTTCTCTTCTCTGAAACAGCTGAGCTGCTGTTTTGCTCTTTTAATATTCTCTGTCAAGGCAAAGATCTTGATTAATTCAGTGTCTATAAGCTTAAGAGTAGGGATGATGTAGCTGAACCCTGACTAGGCCCATCAGGGACTTAGTGTTTTTGCAAATAATTAATTCAATATATAATCATTTAGTCATTACTCCAGCAGGAAGATTATGTTTAATATTAAAAACTTGTTCTGTGTACATCAAGGGCAGTAAGATTTGTCCTTCCATGATTTTGTGGGGTTTTCTATCTCCTACTCTCTTCTTCAGTATACATCTTGTTACGTGTTCCTCATGCAATTTCCACTGCCCTGGGGAATGAAATGACTCTTTGCGCAGGCATGAATTAACTTTAAACCCTGCTGCCTGCTCCCAGAATAGGTGTGTGGGTTTGTCTTCTTATTTTGCCTTAGTAAACACCATTGAGCTGCTTATTTTTCCTCAAAAATATAAAAGGATATGAGTTGCTAGGTAAGTAAAGTTTCTGGAAGGCAATAGATTTTATTCAGCTGTGTCTGAGTAACTTTTGTCTAAGCTTCCTTACAGAAGCAAATGAAAAAGTACTTATGGAGTAACTTTTTGTCTGCATGTGTCACTAAGCTGAGTCACACTGGGGAGTTGAGCTTTGATCTCCATTGTGGTATCTTGCAAGTCAGGGTGAGTAGTTTTTGTTGGTATTATTTTTTTGCTGAAATTTTTGTGGGAGATGTGCTTTAAATTTAGGAAGAAAGTGGCACAAACTCACCTTGTCTCCTCTGCTGATAAGCTGAATTCCATGGGCTGAATGTTCCTTGGTTCCTGTTCTTTGTGAAGTCTGTAACAAGTAGTTTTGCTGATAGTATACTGCTATTTTGTTGGAATGGTGTGCGTTTTATTCTCTTTTGCCAAAGAGAGAATTGGGCTGTAACGTGATTCCTTGTGTAAGTAGCCAGCTTGTATAAATAGTATCATGTATCAACAGGTGTCTCTTGCTCAGAGATGGATATGCATGAGCTGTGTAGGGGCAAAACATTTTAAGAGCTGGTGTTGGAGCTCAGACACTCCAGTGAGGTGTATCGCCTCTCTTGAGGCATATTGCTCCAATGAGGTGGAGACAATCATCTTCATTTCAGCTACTGCAAGTCTCTCCTGTCTGTAGAAGCATTCATGCTTGTGCTTCCACTGAGGCAAGGAGCAAGTTGCTTGAATTATTTAGGTATTTAACAAACACTGGGATGCCTTACAGAAGTGAGTTTTTGTAACCCGTGCTTCTGTCCCCGTGTTTTCTGCAGCACATGAGCCTAATCATATATTCTATTCTGCCAAACTCAACCTTTTATTCAAAAGTACGTTTAGAAATATTAATGCAGACAGAATTAGTTCAAGAAGGTAATTTTTTGAACAGAGAACTGAGATATTTTTCACTTGAAACGTTATTTGTGTAGGAAATAGTGTAAGACAGTAGTACTGTAAAATTCTGATGCATTTGCGGATAATATTTGCTGTACGTTTCCTCCTTGTGAAGTGTAGCTGCACCTAGTGTAGTTGCTTGCAGTCATAGAGGAGCCTTAAAGGTCCACCTATGTCAGGACATTCCTCTGGCTGCCCTGGATGATTCCAGACCCTGGCAGGCGGCTCAGAGACCTTGGCACAGAGTCAAAAACACCTGTGCCTTCGATTTTAGTCCATAGAAAAAAATTACTGACGTTGTGTGAAGATTTACAAACCACAAGAGTTTAAGTAGAATGATAGTTAATTTGTCATGGAGTGAAAAAGTAGAATTTTGAGATTTTAGAAGGGAGGTTCAAGCAGCAAAATAAAATAATCTGGGTGTGTCCTGTCCTCCTTCTTGTCCTCCATCTTGTGCTGTGATGGTGACACTTTTCGATTGGTTTAGAGTAGAGACAAACTGTCTAACCTAAGTAATAGGTATTGGAATATTATTGTAAATAAAGTACTCGTAGTTCTTAGTATAAAAAGTCAACACCACCCCAAAGCAGTCAGTGTGCCACAGACCAACCTGCCAGACAAATCTCAGCAGGTCAGAGAAAGAATGTAATAGATAAAATAAACAACCTTGGAAAGCAGAACTGGTGAATCTCAACTTCTTCTTCAGTCATGGGGCTAGAAAAAAAGACTTTCTAATACCTCAAGAGTCATCTCAACCACAAAACCTGAGACACCTACTCCATCTTTTATGAAGAAGAGGGCCTGAGTGGGATGATCTGGTACTCTGTCCAGTTGCATCCTGAACGCCTCCAGTGGTGCAGACTCTTACCATATCCTTGGGGAGGTTGTTGCAGGGACTGGTTGCTCTCAGTGTAAATAATTTCTTTATTATATTGAGATGAAACCTCCTATAATCAATGCATTCATATTATTTGTGCTGCACTGAGAGAAGGAGAAGGTAAAAAGGGGCAATATAATAACTATTCCATCCTGAAATACTTTTAATGAGAATCTGCCTAGTTTCAGTGGTTTAGCAGACACATGTAATGGTGAAGTTTGCCAATTTAAAGATGATTCTGTAGCGTAGTGGAATGAAGATTTTTACCTCCTTGGGAAGGAACATGTGCCAAAAAGAATACAGGGAAGTTATTTAAAAGATGAAGTTTGTGGGTTCAGTGTGTGAGTCTGGTTGAAACTGTAGGAATGATAATCGGCCTTGTCCGGAGGGTTTCCCAGGAGTGTTGTGGCAGTCTGTCTGCTTTTCCCAGCAAGCCCTGGGGACTTCCGGTAGCATCGGACTGCTGTCATTTTTGGTTGTCACATGATGAAACTGCTGAGAACTCCTTCTGACACATGCCTGTCATACTGGGTGACTGGAATGTCCTGGTCATGTGGCCTTCTAACTACTCCTGTCCTTAGGTGAGTGTGTGACTCAAGCAGTGATGGACACCTGTGGATTTTGTCCCATGGTGGAGTTGTCCCTGGATGTGTGCTGGGGGAGAAGCTGGGTTTTAACTCTGTTCTGTATCTTTGTGTGTCATGGTTTCTTGTAGTTCAGAGAAGGGCAGTGATCACACATTTTGATTGTACCTTTCCTCCTTTGGCTAATGTTTACTTGTGGGACCTTGCCTTTCTTTTCCTTCCCAAATTGTCACACTGCACGTGGCAGAGAATTGTTCCCTGCTTCCCAACCATCTTCTGGTGAAATAGCTCCCTTTTTTTCTTCCCACAATTTTCTATGTGAGAATTAAATACAGGTAAATTTTGTCCTGTTTGGTTTTCGCCCCTTGTAGTATTACAACTGTAGAGCATTCCCCATGATACCATGATATTTGTATCAATATCATACAGTATTGATAGCAAATATCAATTTTTGCTGTTGATATTTGGTATCAATAACACATGTTCTTCATATTTGCTCTGTTCTTACTGTTCGTAACTTTTACATTGCATAAGTTAATTTTGCAGACTAACAGAATCATGTGATATGTGAGTAACTGCTAATATGAAATAGTTTGCAACCTAAGATTTAGGCTGTATCACCTGTTTTTTGTGTTTTGGAAATATTTATGGCCCCAGTGAGGATTTTATCCCAACTGTGCCAGGTGCTGAGAGTGTACCTACATAACAGTTGTGCTCGTATCTTTTTCCTGTGGTGTGTTTGTTTAATCTCTGCAGCTGTGGAAGGGAGGATGTAGTTGCTAACAAAAGCATTCCTTGCATGTCATTTGGCTGAAATGAAATAAAATTCAACAGAACAAATGAGCTTGAATCCAGTCTTTATTTCTTCTGAATGGCTAAATGATTACTTGCAATTATTGAGAAGTATTAGAAATCACTAATTTCACCGTGCAGCGGCGCGTTGGGAAGCGCTGTTGTTTAGTGGCTCTGTAGCAGTAGCAGTGACTTAGTCTGCACCAATGGTGGGATGCACAGGATGAGTAATTTTCCATCATATCTGATGATCTGCACAGCCTGATTAAATATTGAAATATAGTAATCCAAAGCTTTTAAATAATTCATGTTCTGTCTTTTTGTCAGATACCATGCTTGTGTGGAAGTGCCCCGTGCCTGCTGTGCCGATGCTGCCCCAGCGGAAACAACTCCACCATAACTCGGCTGATTTATGCCTTCTTTCTACTTCTTGGCGTCAGCGTTGCCTGTGTGATGCTAATCCCAGGCATGGAAGAGCAGCTGAAGAAGGTCAGGTCATTTATTGCTAGCATTTTTGGGAGAAAAAAATCTCAAAAATAATAGTAATTGACATCTTGAAAAGCATGGGTTTTATTTGGAAATATGTCATTTTGTTACCAGCTGTGCTTCACAGTCACCAATAATTTGTTTGTGAGTCAGAGATGTTGTGGGAAGATCCCTCTATAGGTGAAAAGCACTCTTTTGAGGTAAAGCCTCTTCTTCTCCAGAGCAGAAAAAGAAAAGATTTTGTATCAAACAAGAAAATTTATGTATGTGTACTTTCAAATTAAGTATTATTGAGATGCTTGTATTTATGGCATTTAATTGATTTTTATTGTGGTTGTGATTAAAAAACAAAACAACCACACTCTAAGATGTCTTCTAGTTTTGTCATGCTGTACTAGTTAAAATTCCATCTTAAACTATGCAGTGTGTAACAAAAATATTTTTCACTCATCATTGTAGCCTGTTTTCCACCCAGGGAATTAGGAAGTGTTTGTAGGATCTTACAGTTTATTAGCTAAATGAAGATGCAATATAAAACTGGAGAATGGTATTGTGAGTTACAGTAGAGCTTACAGAACTTGGGTTGCATGTACTTCAGTTCTGTTTTGCAGTCTTAAGTTTTTTTCATAGATAGTAGCTTTGGTTAGGCATGATTTTCATGTTTTTTTCCCCCAAATTATTTATCTGTAAATGTGTATTGTAGGTTGGTGTAGTTACCACTTTAGAGCTTCAGTGAGAGCCATGTTAGTCACCCAGGAAAGAAAATTACAGCCTTCTGGAGTATGATATGACTTCTGAAAGATATTGCTCATGTCCTGGTAGTGACTGGAGAGAATGTTCTCAGCTGTTTCTGAGAATATTGAGTAATATGGAAATTACAGACACACCTAATTGATAGGGTACTTTTCTTGGGAAAGGCTGTGTCTGTTTTAGAGAGATGTAAGCAGGCTGCCACCTCCTAGCTATGTCATAAGCCTGATAGTAACTGTCAAGTCAAATTTACAAGTTCACAGATCTTTAATTATCTCTTGATTCAGATCAGCAAGGGAAAACTGCATTTCTTTAAGAAGTTCTGAAATTGCTAATAACATAAAAAACCTGTTAATAAGATCCCTGTCCCACTCATGGAAACATTCAAGGTCAGGTGGGATGGGGCCTCAAGCAACTTGATGTAATTGAAGATGTCCTTGCCCATGGCAGAGGGGTTAGTCTAGGTGAGCTTTAAAGGTCTTCTCCAACCCAAACTATTTCATGGAAAGATTTATTTTATCCTGCCTATGCAGGTTTTTTTTTTTCCTTGCATGTGTTTGATATTCTAGTTGGACTGCAGCTAACTTCAATATCATATTTTCTAACAGTATTTATAGTTACATAATGTTACAATATTAATAAATTGAGTATTGGAAATGTATTAATATTCATTTACTGACAGGAAGTCTTTTAATGATGACTGATGTGTCTTGTATTTATCACAGATTCCTGGATTTTGTGACGGAGGGTTGGGAACAAGTATTCCTGGTGTGCAGGGCCACGTGAACTGTGATGTGCTGGTTGGCTACAAGGCTGTGTACCGCGTGTGCTTTGGCATGGCCATGTTCTTCCTGCTCTTCTCCTTGCTGATGATCAAAGTGAAGAGCAGCAATGACCCCAGAGCAGCGGTGCACAATGGGTAAGATGCAGAAATGAGTGCTGAGATGAGTTAATGATTAATTTTTGTTTCATTCCACAGAGGGTTTTTCAAGAAATAAAAATATTTAGGAGCCTCATCTGAATTATATTCCTCTTCACTTTGAAGTTTGTAAGAACTTTTTTTCGTTTCTGAACGGTTTTGTTATAAAGGTTATAGCAGTTACACATATATATCGATATAGATGTATAAAACATATCTTTTCTCTTTCTGCTATCTTCTCAGTTGCCCCTCTGCAAAAAGAAATGAGTTATGTATCTAGTTTCTGAGCTTCTCAGTGAATTTTCATTTCTTTTCATTTTAGTTAAGATTATCAGATGGAAGAATATAGTGGAATTTCAGCTTGTGTATTGACACAAGTGGTAGTTTTCATCCAAGTTCTGCCTATGTGTAATGAACCAAGGAAATGTAAATATTTGTGAGAGGACATGGTGCTAAAAAGCCTAAAACCATTTATGGTGCCTGATCTTGGTGGTCACAGTGATTGCTTAGACTACTGCTTTTTAGAGGTGACTGTATTTAACAGAAGCTATGAACAGCTAAGCAAAAAATTTTATTTTATATTCAGTATAGTAGGATTAAACATGTCTAACATAAAAAGAGAAAAAGCTTCAAATTATTTCTGTAGGGGAAAATAATTAAGATTGAGCAGAATATTGCTTTGTTTACTTTTGGGGTTTTTTGGAAAAGAAAAAGAGAGTACATATTAAGATATGTTAGCAAGAGTAACTCAGTTCAGCCTTTCCCCTCCACCCTGCTTTGTTCAGGAGAACATGCTTGTTGCAAGCAAAAAGAAAGTGGTTCAGCTACATTCTGTATCAGAGCTCTGTTGTTTTTTGGTTCTTTTTCAGAAAAAGGCACATGGGGATTTTCCATAATGAGGAATGTTTTTTACCTAAATTTTTTCTAAAGTGTTTGGGATCTTCTTGATAACCTTATTTGGAGTTGTGCTCTCCAATACAAATTTAGGTACTGTTTATACAACCCATAGCAGTATGCTCTTCTTAGCCAATCTAACATCAGCACTAGGATAAAAGGAAAAATTTAACTGTTGCTGGTAAAATATTTAATAACATTACTTTCAGTACTTCTGTAACAACTCATTGCTTCAATAATATGCATTACAGTGAGCTTTATGAAAAGCGTTATGGCTTTTAATTTTTGAAATTGTCTGTATGTTCAGTAATATTTTGAGATGTAATCTTTTTGTCAGTGATTTGAAATATTCAGAATATTAGGGTTTTGCGTATATGTGTACTAACTTTTTCATGCTTGCCTGCAAGTTAAGCTAAATAATACAATCTGGTGCCAATGTTCACCTTCTCTGCTTTTTTAATGGCAGTCAGAGTGGTTTCTTGCCTCAGGTTTATGATGAGAATAGAAAAAATAAATTATATGTACAAGATAATTGCTAGCTTGTACAGAATGCGCAGCAGCTTTAGGTGTTATTTCAGATGACTGTTGTTTTCAATTGTAGAATGGGGTAGAACAGTAAGATCCATCAAAAAAAGTCTAGAATTAGAGATTAAGCATATATAAACTTGAACCCATTTCTATTTCTATAATTGAGAATGGCATTGATTAAAAAAGTGGATTCTAAAACTACTTTTAGTGGGGTTTGTATTGCACTGTAAATGTTACAACTTAATTCAACTTTCAGACTGGATTTTGTCACCTCTCTATATCCCAGGGAGTTAGTCCATTTTCTTCTGTATTCTACACTCCTGTCATCTCACATAATTCCTCTCCACACAACTGGAATTTGTTCTTCTGGTATCCATCACTTGATTGTAACAGCCAGCAGGAGAGATTAAACTTGCTAAAGTATGGGAATAAATGGGAAGGGATAGAAAACTTGAAAAACTGACAAGTGGTTGACATTGTGGGGGTGTGGTACATATCTTTGTGGTGTTACATTCAGTTTTGAAGTGCATGTAGATGGCATCATGCCTGGTTTTGGAGCTGCCTGTCACTGGGATCAGAAAAAATAGTCTTTACCTCCTTACAGTTTTGTTGGCATAACAGTTTGAAGTTCTCTATGCAGGGTATATTTATACAGTTAGTGTTTGGGGTGAGTTGTTGTATCTTTGGTGAAGGATATTCCCATGTATGCTTTCTGGAAACATCTGATCTCTTTTGATGGTCTGTGAGTTCATGTCTTTTACTGGAAGAAAAATTCCAATGACACTGCCCTGAAGCAGGGACTTGGAACTTGATTGTGTCTTTTCTGTGCAGGATAAATGATTTGCTTTTGTTTTTGTGGTAAATCCTCATCAGCTCAGTAGGCCTAAAGCATCTGAAGTTGGATGGGAGGAATCTAGACGTTTGTATATTTCTCTCGTGTAGGAAGTGAAGCAAGACTGGTAGGGAGCTCCAGCATAATATTTTATGTTATTGTAGGCACCAATGTGATCTTTGATTTTAAAAGTACAAAGATATTTTTTAACCCATTTTTCTGATATGCAGACAAACCAACAATCTCACTGCAACTCTGTGTCAGTCTAACACAGGTTAAGCATAATTTTTTAGAGAGCAAAAATCTTGGGCAGTTAAAATTTTTATCCTGCTTCAAGTGAGGCAAGTTACAAATGAGCAAATTAAAAAAAAAACCCAACTCTTAAAGATGTGTATTTTTATATGAATTAGACCAGACTTAACAGTTGCATTATTTTCTTTTATTTCCCTTTAGATTCTGGTTCTTTAAATTTGCGACGGCGCTTGCAATTAGTGTTGGAGCTTTCTTCATCCCAGAGGGACCATTTACAACTGGTGAGGGAATGTTGTCTTCCTCTGTATCATGGTGCAATCATACTTAGTTTTAGATAAAGTAATGCGTGCTGATGTCATACAGTTTTAATTGTAGCTGTGTAACTGTAGTGCTTCTGTGTGTTTAGGGACACTGCGATGGGGGGTAAACACCTATGGTTCTTAACTGATTTTGTTTTACTTCTCTTCTAGTGTGGTTCTATGTAGGTATGGCTGGAGCATTCTGCTTTATTCTTATTCAGCTGGTCTTGCTTATTGACTTTGCCCATTCCTGGAATGAATCTTGGGTTGAAAAAATGGAGGAAGGAAACTCAAGATGCTGGTATGCAGGTATGGAGGGACTATACTACAGTCAAGTTTTAACTTTAATTTAATATGCATTGTGTTAAATAAGTTACTCACTGAATAGTTCATTTTACCAATGCAGAAAGGGCTGCTTCATGCAGGAGTGTCATTTTCTCAGATGTGTAGTTCAGCTCCATTGATGTTCTTCTGTTGTCAAGTTAAATAAGGGGAAGCAGGGAGAGATGCAGCAGTCTCTGAGTAATAAGATCTGTTCCCTGTGCGCAAGGCATGAGTTTCACAGAATCACAGAATGGGTGAGGCTGGAAGGGAGCACAGCAGCTCATCTGATGCAGCCTCCCAGCTCAAGCAGGGTCATCCTGGAGCACACATGGCACAGGATTGTGTCCAAATGGTTCTTGAATATCTCCAGTGAGGGAGACTCTACAACCTCTCTGGGCAATCTGTTCCAGGGTGCAGTCATACAAAAAGTAAAGAAGTTCTTCCTCATGTTCAGGTGGAGCTTTCTGTGCATCATGGTATCAGAAAAATGGCAACAGCAGCTTTTAGGGTTTTTCTTGTTTTGTTTTTTGGGTCGGTTTGGGAGTTTTTTGTTTGGGTTCTTTGGTTTTGGGTTGTTTGTTTGTTTGTTTGTTTGTTGTTTTTTTTAGTCATAGCTTTTGCTAGCTCTTCAGTGCTGATTAAAAACAAAGTAACCTGGTAGTGCATCATGTTGAGTAGAATCATCTCAAACAATTGTTTTTTCTGGTTGCCAGTTAATCATTCTTTGAAGGTATATGCTGAGTGAAAGGTCAAGGTAGTGAAGGAGAGTAAAGTCATCTTACTGGAGAAATGTTATTTTAATAATGTGTTTCAGATTTTATAATTTAGGTGTTTCAGAAGACAGTATGGCCTGTGTTAATTCAGTGGCTGCTTCTCTAGTGTTTTTTCTAAGATGTAATTTGGAAATGAGATTTTGTATTAGCCTCTGAAGCTGAAGCATTTCTTCATTTTCTTTTTTAAGCTGTTAGCCAAAGTGTGCCCAGTACAGCTATCTATGTTCCTTTATCCTCCTTGCTCTTCCTGGTTGCTGTTAGGGCACTGGAGAATCAAGCATGGCCTCAGGATTCCAATGTATTGTTTCTTTACGGGCTATTTGAGAACTTCTTTTACATTTCAGTGCCCAGAATTCTTGTTATATATTGTATCCCACACTTGATAATCATGCAGTATTTATTCCAATCATAGTAGTCTCTGTTATTAACCAGTTTAACTATGGTTTTGTTTCTTCACAGCTCTCCTCTCAGCTACAGCTGTCAACTATCTGCTGTCTCTGGTAGCTATTGTCTTGTTTTATGTTTATTACACTCATCCAGAAGGTTGTTCTGAAAACAAGACATTCATCAGTGTTAATATGCTCCTGTGCATTGGTGCTTCTGTAATGTCAATTCTGCCAAGGATTCAGGTACGATTTTAATTCTGTTACCTCCTGTATTATCACAATGTAATTGTGCCTGCAGCTTTTGATTGCCTAACTTCCCTGTTCTGTGACTCCTTTGTCTAGGAATCTCAGCCAAGATCTGGTTTGCTGCAGTCTTCGGTGATCACAATTTACACAATGTATTTGACTTGGTCAGCCATGACCAATGAGCCAGGTAAGTGTAGTAACAATGTAGAGCATTTTGGGTAACCAGTTCAGCAATAAATTGTACTTTCACTTCTTGCAGGGCAGCAGGGAGGGAGGGCAGGGTCTGCGTGGCTGGTCCAGGCAGGTTCCCATGAGGGGGAGAGGGAAGCAGAGTGCCACTTCTTCTGGGAGGTGCTCACCTTTTCCTCCCCCCAAAGCCACGCTCCCAGCAACAATGTGGGATGTGTAAAATAGCAACATGGCCTTGCCCACACATCTCTGAGCTCCCCCCCCTGCAACCAGCATGCTAAGATTGTGTCTTTTCCCCCTGCTTGTATGGCATGTAATTTCTCCTCTTTACTGGCAGAACTGCAATATCCTAGAGCTTAGATTTTGCAGATCAGTGCAACTCCCCTGAGGAGTCTAGGAGTTTCATCTCTCTACCAAGTTTCATGTTTCTTAGGTGACCAAGATGCTACTGATTATATTTTGCCAAACTGAGGATTTATAACAAGTATTAATAAATGTTGTCAGTGTTTATTGTGACTGGAAACAGTTGAATGTCTCTAAAAATAAACAGGTGTAGAAATTACGATGATTAAAATAAATCACCAGATATTGATTTTAGTGATTTTAATTGGGTCTCTGACCCTTTTGTCTTAGCTGTGGACAATCTTCTGTGCTTCTGTGTCATGGAATACATGAGTCATCTAATTCAGGCAGTGATTATGGGAAAATAAGATTGTCTACTACTTTCAGCTGTTTCATCAGTGTTACCTGTGGATGCTGTGGGTTGGGAACCACTCATAATAAAAAACTGACTTACTGGCATTGTTTTCCATTTCTGGGATGACTTGGGTACCCCATCTATGGAATATGTTTGTCAAACCTGTTTTCTAGCAGTAGAATTTCTGAAGCTTATTATACAGAAATTTCTGTTTTGTTGCATCTAATTATGTCAGATGGAATAGTAAAGCAGTTGATGCATATCTTACATAAGTTCAGAATCCTTTCATCTGCTCAAAGACATAGATTTTTATGCCATATACTGTCATTTCCCTGCTCTAGAGAGATTCAGTAGGCTAAAATTAAATTCAGATTTCACTTAAAGACTGTCACAGTCACGACGTTCCTTTCTATTTCTGTGCATTCAGCATGGAAATGTGCTATTAAATATTTGTCCTGTTCTTGTTTTATGTAAGTTCTAATGCAATTTCCCTCACAGACAGGCGCTGTAACCCCAGTCTGCTGAGCATCATTGGTTACAACAGCACCACCATTCCAACCCAAGGTCAGGTAGTGCAGTGGTGGGACGCGCAAGGGATTGTAGGACTGGTTTTGTTTCTGCTGTGTGTTCTCTATTCAAGGTAAGATTCCTTTAAAAAAATACATTCATTTGTATCACTTCTTATTGTTGGATATGAAATTGTATTTATTTGGGTAACTGTACCATGTCCTTTCCTGTCATATCCAGCATCCGGACATCCAACAACAGCCAAGTTAACAAGCTGATGCTGACCAGCGATGAGTCAACGCTGATAGAGGATGGAATGCCCAGGAGTGATGGCTCCCTTGATGATGGAGATGATGTTCATCGAGCTATAGATAATGAGAGGGATGGAGTTACTTACAGTTACTCCTTCTTCCACTTCATGCTTTTCCTGGCATCACTGTATATCATGATGACACTTACCAACTGGTACAGGTATTTATCTTTGATTAGATGTTGTGCTGATAATGAGCATACAAGAGGCTGTCTGTTGCTGGACAGGGAGGCACAAGTTGCATGCTCTGGAATGTCGGTCTTGAGTGAGCCTTCTCAAGGGAAGTGTATCTGAAAACTGTAGCAAACCTTGTTCACAAGTGCCTGCCATATTTTCTAGGATGATTCGTGTTGTTCACTGAACTGCTGAAATGCATCCTGCTAAAGTGAACAGGATAAAGTCTTACATTATATAACAATTAAAAATTAGTAAACACTAGGCCCATGTCTAGTACAGAGAGCTAGGAAAAGGACATGTTATGTCAACAGGTCAAGGGGAAGGTGTTTCTTCCCATCTCCTCCAGTTCTGGGGCTTCCCGATATGAGAGAGACATGGGCATATACTGGAGAGAGTCCAGCAAAGGGCCACAAAGATGATTAAGGGACTGGAGCATATGTGATATGAGGAGAAGCTGAGAGAGCTGGGACTGTTCAGCTTGGAGAAGAGAAGGCCCAAGGGGTGTCTCACCAATGTGCGGAAACACCTGAAGGAGGTGTGCAAAGAGGATGGAGCCAGGACTTCTCAGTGGTGCCCAGTGACACGGCCAGAGGCAAAAGGCACAAACTGAGACACATGTGGTTCCCTCTGGACATCAGGAAACATTTTTCCATTGCTAGGGTGACTGAGCACTGGTGCAGGTTGCCAGGGGAAGTTGTGGAGTTTCCATTCTTGGAGGCACTCCAAAGCTGTCTGAGGCAGCTGGATTTAGGTGTCCCCACTGGAACAGTGAAGCTGGACTTGAGAACCTTGAGTAGTCTCTTCCAGCCATAGCCATTCTCTGATGGGGCTTGGTGGAAGGAAATTATGTTGTCTGATCCTTGGAAAAAATCCTAACAATAAAATAGTCCTCCTGTGTGTGAACTGTTGGTAACAGCTAGATCAGATCAGAATTAAAAAATACAGCTTACGGTCTCTAGTTACATGGCAAAGAACAATTTGTATCAAAAAAGCAACACTAAGAGGTACTTCCTTCAAAATAACTCTTAATAGATAGTCCTGCTGGGAAATTGATTTGTGGCCCTACTTGGGTCCAATATGACATCAAGATGATCAATTTCTCTAGGTGTTGTGTTGCCTTGTTCTTCTAAAGTTCTTCTAAGCCTTCTGATGTTTACATTTTTGTAATGGAGTTTCTCACACACTTTTCTTGTAAATAGTGATTGTTTTGCATTCCTTTCTGGAGGAGGAGAGAATTGATGGACTGTTGGTTTGACCAGTATGGTTGGAGAGGTGGCAATTTCATCCTCCAATCCATGGTCACTTTTGGAATTCTGTAAATAACAAGGTCGGGAAATAAATGCGCTCTTTTTTGCCTTGGACATATCAGTGTGTGAGTGTCGTTCGTGTCGTATTGCGACAGTGGTGTCCTTTGGCAAGGCAAAATACATTCTCTTTGTCTCTAAGTGCTATCCATTTACTGCCTTTCTGCAGATTTGTTAGAGATTCCTTGTAATTATTTCTGCTTTTTGGCAGCTTCTCATACTGAGTATTTTTTGTGCTGTTGTTTTTCCACCTCCTGTGACACCTACATACAAGTTGTGTTCTTGTACAGACTGGTGTGAACTGCCTGGGAGAAGGGTCCTTTGGTGTGTGAATTGAGAATGATCTCCTGTGAAAACAGTGTTGAAGGGTAGCTTAGAACACAAGTATGTTATATTGAAAAATATTGCAAATGATCCTTTGTCTTTTCCTTGGTTCACAGCCCGGATTCTTCCTACGAGACAATGACCAGCAAGTGGCCGTCGGTGTGGGTGAAGATCTCTTCCAGCTGGATTGGCATCGTGCTGTACGTGTGGACTCTGGTGGCTCCGCTGGTTCTCACCAACCGCGACTTTGACTGAGCTGTGTTGCTCTGGAGGAGGCTGTGCTAGCGCCACGCGTCCCTGAAACAAACAGTATTCCAGCTAGCAGTGCGGGTGTAAATACATGTGTGTGTGCTGTCCAGGTAGTGTTCCCTGCTTTGTCCTGCATGATTGCCTTGAATCATGTCTTGTCATTTCAGCAAATGACTTTTTCTAGCTGAGCTCAGTGGTAATTGCTGTAACGATGGTTTTCAGAGGATTACTCCTCCTTTGAGTGCTTTGGGAGCACCAGATGTAAGATCAAGAGCTTTGGGAAGTATGTTTTCTTCCCCTCAATTGCATTAAATGGTTGTAGGAAAAGAAGTGCAAGCGTTAATTAGGGTAATTAAACAGTGCTTGGTCAGGCTTTACAAGTGAAGAGGGTCTGCCTTTGATGATCCCTGTTGCCTTGATTCCAAAGTAAGCCTTGAGTGAGTGTTGTTAGACTCAAAGGAGCACTGTGGGTTCACTGGGTGTCTTGCAGCACTTAGACACTACCAGCCTGACTTTTCCCGTGCCGAGGGCGGCAGTACCTTCAGCACAGATGTGAGGGGGAGCTGCAGAGGAGCCAGTCCAGTGTGCCCCACTGCACACAGGACAGGCACCCTGGGAGAATACCCTGGTGTCAGAAGCATGTTTTTAAGGCACCTGTTTACAATGTGCATCTACATAGTATTATTGGTTTTTTAAGTAGTTTAAGTAGCATAGCTGTGCTGTAATTTATTGCTGTTTTGTGTGCCACTTTCTTGGCTAAGCTACAATCATGAAGTTTGCAAGGAGCCAAGTGGTAAAAGCTGTGTAAGCCCTTTGGAGGAATTGAGTATTGTGATTAAAAAAAAATGCGGAGAAAAAGAAGCACTGAAGTTACAATAACTAAAGGAGGTTTGCATTTACTGAGGCTTCAACTGAAGGGTTTCTTAAAATATTTGGGGCTCTGAATCTTGAAATCTTTTACTGTATTAGGTATTTGGCTTGTTGTCCATTGCCAGAGATGGACTTGAGCCTAGAAAGTCTAAATCTAGGCATAGTTCCTGTGCAGTTACGAAATCTTAAAATGCTTTTGTGCTTGCTGCTTTGTAACTGAAGTACATAAGCTGCATAGTTTCTCTGTTACTTGCTACAACTTGAGCCTAGAGCCACCTGACTGGGAGTGACCCTGGAGCCTGCAGCAGATGTCATGCTCATCCCTTTCTGTGGTGTTTGTAACTGTGACTTCCTGTTGCTATTCTCTAAGCTTTTAATTCTGCACCTGAACGCTGACATTTACTGCAAAAAATCTGACATGTCAAGTCAAACTTGAGACATTAATGGAAAGATTAGTAAAGGCTTGTAATAATTTGGAATATGTTGTTACCTTATTAATAAATAAATTTGGATGAAGATGTCCCATGACTTTTGATGTGTCATGCTGCTGCTGGATGTGGCTATTGCAAGGGTTTGTGTAACCTTCTCATCCTCTCTTCTGGGGATGCTTTGTAGCACTATCAGGTTCTGAGAAGAACCCACAGTGCTGCAGAGCACACCTGTGAGTCCCTGGCTCTTTCAGGAGGTCACCTGTAACCCCCTGGGTGAAGTTCTCTGACAGTCCTATGCCCTTCACAGCCATGTCCCAGTAAACACTAACGTGCTTTGCACCTGGAACTGCATTCCTGCTTCATCAACTGCTGCCACCTCACTGGATCACACCTGTTTAAATTCGGGTAAAACACCTACAGTGCTTCTACAGTCCTGTAACAAAGTTCCTGAGTCCTGTAGCAAAGAACAAATTGCTGAATTCAGAAAATGGGCTGACAGCTCTGTCTATGGATTCAGCTCCTTGTACAAGTGGCCAGATTACTCTGGAAAAAAACCTTGGATCCACTTCCAGAGCTGGGGAATGTGGCTTTTGTGTTGCATGTATGAAGTTAACAAAACCTAGTTTTCTTTCTTCTTTTGGAGGCTTATCAATAAACCTGTCAGGCTGGACATAATGAAACTACTTTCCAGGAACTGTGCACAGCAGACCTTGCACAGCTACTATGATAGGAAAACAAGATGCTGTTAAATCCATAACCACCTGGCACACAGAATAAGAGACAAACTTTTGACAAGTATCACACTTAAGTAACATTTATTTTGTCAGCATAGATGGTCCAAGTTAAAAGTACTCATGCAGTCATGGGGCCTGGCAGCTGTCAACAACTTTTCCCCAGTTTGTGCTATGTGTGAGCACTTCCACTGAAGTGAAAGTAAGGCAGAACCAAGATTTAGCAAGGTACAGGCACTTTGTTCCCAGTTGAAGCAGGGAAAAAAAAAGCCTACATCAGGTCCTGGTCCCCCCACCCCAAAAAAAGCCTCATGTGTGTTAAACAAAATGTAAAAAATAAAAACCCCAAAATACAGAAAGTCAGTGTTCCCTAACCATACACTACTAGTTTATGTCATCATATGTAAGACAAGAAGTATAAGAAACCATAAACCAAAGCTCACTATTGACAAGTGTTGGTTACTTGCAGTACAAGCAATGTGGGCAACACCAAGTGTTCACAGCAGTGCAGCAGGAGCCGGGCTCAGCAGTGCCAGCTGTGCCTGTGGCCTGGCTAACTCCATAGCTAAACAACTGCTTGTATAGGATAGGAAAGGTACTTCAGATTCCACATAGCTGGTTACATAAAACAGTGATGTACAAAAAACTCTCATACCAAACAATATTCTAAATAAATAGTTCATCTTCATGACTATATACAGAGCCTCCCTCACATCAGTTATCCAAGAAGGACATGTCTGTGTCCATGGGTGCTGGGGCAAGTTCACACAGGTAGAACAGCGTGGCCTCACTCGCCTCTGCCTCCGTCAGTGGCTCCAGACGCACCAGTTTGCTCTGGGTGGGCTGGGGATCCAGGCTGCTCTCCAGGAGCTCGTCCCCTTCCAGGGACTTTTCAGCAGTGGAAAGAGTTTCAGCTGTGAAGCCCCCACTGTCAACAGCAGAGCCTGGGTTCCCATCGAGGAATGCAAGGAGTGGAAAAGCAGTGTAGTGTATCAGCTGCTTATCTGTGGGGAAAAAAAATGCCCAGAATATCAATTCATGTGCCTTTCTACATGCAGAAGGAAAAAACAAAATCCAACCCACACCATTTATCTAAAGAATAATTACTAAAATAGATAGGTGTTTGTGTTTTTAAAGAATTGTTATGTTCATGTGTAACATTATTAGTGCAGATTCACCTGCAAAACATCAGTTTCTCTGCATCTAGTGCAGACAAAAACCTAAAAAGCAAATATACTAAGTATTGTGTTTTGGTTATTTATCAGCATAACATAAAATCAGATAAGGAGCAAATAACTGAGATGGCTTTTAGAGTAATGTTCAACTGTGGAAACGTTTCAATAGATGACTACAACTAACCTGATCTGGGCTTAGTACCTTGTGTTTCCTGTGAAGCTGCTGGACCAGCATTATTCTTGTTAGCTTCTTTTCCCTTTGTCTCCACCTGGGAACAAAAGCAAACTTTTAAAATATACTTTTAAAACTTGTTCCAATGCTACTGGAGAACAGCTGAATGACTATGACAAATATTTTTTTATTTGTGGTAAGATGCAGTGGCATAATCAGTATTATCCACACTAACATACCTTGGCTGAGAAAACATGAAATGGAAACACAGACTACAAAGCAAGAACCAAAACTAATGCTTTAAATGAACAAATTCATTTGTTCAAATGGACAAATTCAAAGCGCTACATCTTTGCTTCACTGCTTATTACTGGTTTCTCTTCCCACCAGACAATACAGATGAAACCATTCTGATAGAAGTGCATACCATGTTTGCAAATAAAAAAATCTCGGGGATATAAAAGTCAAGGGACTGGTATAATGTAGAGGTAACACAAGTTTTAAAGGGCACTGCTAATTAATTAGGGTGCTTTTTACTTTGTTGTTTAAAGCCCAACAGGATGAACTCAGCTGCAGTCTTCCTATTCTCATGCAAGTCTTAAAAGCCAGAGCACAAAGTGCCATGATTCCAGTAAAGAAAACAGCAAAAGATGAGTGAATTTTGCATCTCTCACTAGTGCATATGTTGAGCAATGGATTTAAGACTTACTTTGGTATTAGTGATATGATCATGATCTGTGGGATTCATCTGCACAGAACTTGTAAAAAGCTGAATAAGACAAAAGACATCCAAGTTTTAGGTATCTCAGTGTTGCTATTAAGAATACAAGACCATTGCTTCTGTATGTGTGAGAAAAACCCCTGTACTTATTCCACCCTCTATGAGGACTGGAGACTATGTGGAATTCCATGAACCCTGATCACAAAAGAAACAACTGTATGGCATCTAACATGGTTTGCTGCAGTCCTAAAACACCAATTTCTACTAACACTGCTGCATGGATAATTCTGTCTGCAAGATGGATGAAATTGCAAGTGACACCAAGCTGGAAGGAGCCATCAGTAAGTGGAGAGCAGAGGTGCTTTTAAGATGGATCTCAGTGAAGTGAGAGGGGGCCAACAGCACTCCAGCAGGTTCAGCAGCCACATGTCACCAGGACCCAGTAACCTCATGCACTGGGGCTTAGGTTAGGCTTAAGGAACAAATGGACAGGGAGCAGCACTTCAGAGGGGACATGTGAGTCATGGCAGACAACACCCTGCTACCAGCCAGCAACGTGGTCTTGCAACAGGGAGGAAGGTTCTTTTTAACCCCAGTTCACTGAGAAGACCAAAGATAATGTGCTGGGTTATTTCCAAGCGAGAGTATTAATTGACTTGACATCTAAGTTCACATCACAACAAATATCAGCATTATTTCATTAAGCAAGCCACTGTTCAGTAAGAAACTTAAGCATTCACTTGAGCAGTGGTGTAGCATTAAGACTTATAGCAGTGCTCCAGAAACTCATAAAAATTTATAACTTTGCTTTGTAAAGGGAAGGAAAAAAAGATCATTTGTGATTTAAATCCATATTAAACAGCAACAATACACACAAATGTTTCCTATAGCCTATTATGAAAATACTTAATTTTAAGTCAAAATTACATCAACCAGGAGATCTGGATCTATGCTGAACTGTCGTCCTGACAACATAGCCTGGAAGTCCTCTAAACTGCAGTCGATACTGTCCAGATAATCCAGAAGTTCAACTCTAGAAGGCAAACAGTATTTTATTGCTGTATCCCTTAATAAAGTAAGAGAAATCCTTAAGTAAGCTTTACACAGATGTACTACATGCATCTAAAAATCTTTACCAGAACTAGAATGAACTAAGTCTTTCACAAGAAATGACCTCTGGAAAAATGAAGACTTTTAGCCTCTTTAGAAGAGAACCCAAGTCAGCAGACAGGTGCTCTGGAAGAGGTATCACAGGAATCATGTCAACATAACACTATTACATGACATTAGCAGAGATGCAATTCTTGCACAGCCCTAATGGGTCTAATCCACCTGCAGGAATGACAAAAATAAATCCTGACGATTTCAGCAATCTCCACAACATTACACTGCCAGATTAAACAACTCACTCACTTAACAATTAAAATCAGAGGTCGCATCTTAAAATACTTAAAATAG